AAACGAGACTCAAAAAGGATATGAATGAGGAGAGTTTATTGTTCTTTATCAGCAATAATATCAAAATTCATATATTACGGAACTTGAGATCCGAGATCGCCAAAATTTGTCTTATTTTTTATTCTACAAAAGCGATCGTCAGACTGAAAGGTTTAATTTCCCATAAATGACGAAATATATTCAGTTCTTGGCACTTGTGATTCTAATAGAGTTGCTTTATGGGGCAGAGATTCCGTTAATTGCAGGTGAAAAGCATTTTATTATCATATAATTGCCGAAGGCAGTCACGACTATGTTATTCTCTTTTTCTAGCAGGTTAGGTCAAGCGAATGAAACAATATAAATAAGCCGGATTTGCAAGGCGTCATTTTTTATATTTCCACAATTTTTTTAAGGTACGCATTATGAATGAATAAATTTTCGAGCCGGGTTTAGTTACAACTTCACGTATATATTGATAATCTTGTTTTTCTTAGCATTCACGATGTCTACAAACGGTTTTTCATATATGAGAGGGGAAATAAAAAGACTTTAATACTTTATTATAAGAATATCCGGGTAAAGATCGAAGGGTTGAATGAAGATATCGCGAGGGTTTTTCTTGTGGATGCGAATGATGATCAAATTGTAATTACAGAGAACATAGTTTTTATAAATGCAACGACTAAAAAAGAAATTTCTGCTGTAGACGTTAAGGGTAAAAAAAGTTATCTCATAACTTGGATACATAGCTACGAGTTATCTGTAGATGGCGAAAAAATTTTTATGTTAAGACAACGGAAAGAGCAACGTGGTTCGTTTGGATTGGGGGATTATTTGGTATAGAAGTAACTAGATTTTTTTGTGTATTCGCATTATTATGTAATAGCGATACGTTTTTTTTTATTTCATACAATAAAGCAAGGTTCTATGTAACCATTTGTCTCGATCAGAATTATGTGGATGTCCATGCTTTATTTTCATCAAAATCACGTGTGTTCCAATTTGGAACGGAGATCACTTTGCTAGAAAAAAAAATTTGAATGTGTCTCAATACTTTGATATAATACGTCATCATACATAAGATATGTCTCGCAAATCTAGAAATAACAGACGAAAAACTCAAGGTAGATTTACTACAAATCCTACACAATATATACAATTTCAAAACCGGAATAAATATATGCATGTTATGGAAGGTGAAAATATAGTTATAATTAATAGGAGTACTCAGGATGTGAAAGCGATATTTGATTATGTAGAGGTATGTAGATATCTAAAGATAAATAATCTCGATTCGAATATTCTCAGTGTATTCAGTAATTAATTGGCTTATTAATGAAAAATCAAAGAAATAAAGAATAAAATCAAAAACAAATCAAACCTACTATGGGGTATTCACCGTAGAACTATTATCTGAATTGCTATTTGAATCAACTGGGGGTGCGTAAAACAGAAGAGACATGTTGACGAACAAGATGTTCTATATAATTTATAAAAACGATGTATCATAATCAGGAAATAAAAAGGTTCGCAAAAGTTGAAAGAATTCATACCCGCATTATTAACAATGTTTCCACAAATTTGAACACAGCATCCACATCAGTTGGTTGTACTGGAATCTCAACTGTGCGTAAATTATAGAGCCGATGTATTTCATCCATACCCCGGACAAGAACATTTAAACGCAACTCGCTTCCCCCAATTTGGATTCCAATAATACCGAATTCGTTCTTATTCGGATTACATCCCTTATATGTCCAATATATACCATCATTCATCTCACTCCACAATTTTACCTGGTCATTCTGTTTTTTTTGATTGTCGCAAACTAGACGCGAACTTTCAGCAAATACTATCTCATATAGTCTATTATTATTGGTGGTGATGAACATGGCATCAGGTCGTTTCCCAACTCCTCTTCGATCTTTGCTTGCTACACTTTGGCTCTCCGCTGTACTAATATAACCAGATTTTCCAACCGGGAGGCCTTTTAATGATGCCCGAATCATAGGAATTATCACATGGGTCATATAAGTCCCCTCACTCTGAGACTTAGCCAAGTTTGGTCTGAAGGCAGGATTTTTCCATACATCTCCCCTATCAAAAAATATTGATAAAGAATGATTTCCAGAGTCTATGGGATCATTCAAAGAAATATCTAAATAAAATGATAATACTCACAATACTTCAAGGATATCTGTTGCAATTTTTGAGAGATCTTCATAAGATTCCTTCCAGTTTTTATCGTGTGAAAGTCTGTTTATTGGGATGTCGGCGCTATCTCTAAAATTAATAACAAATTCGTCACATTTATCTTTAATAAGAGATGGGGCGGATACTTTCATACGTTCCGCAGGATCCTACAGGGTTCAAGATATTAATTACATTTAGTTCTGCAATAATGAAGTATATTAAAATTTCTCCTTACCATAAAAAAGTCATATGCATCAGATTGCAATGTTGTCACCATTTCTGAGTCCGCACAAATTACTTGACTAGCGAGTGGTGTTTTCCCATGATATATTTGAAGTGTTATTCTTCTTCTTTAAATATTTTCGGAAATGTTGAGCATATGGGGCTTCACTTTTGCTAAGATTGGTTTTTAACTCTCGCAAGTTTATCTGGATTTCATTTTCAGTAAGTGGTACTTCACTCTCTTTCGATATTTTTCGAAGACTAAACACTCCTTCATATGCATCATCGAACTAACGCAGAAAACCTTTATGTTAGTACTAATATATATAAACTTATAATAAAATTATAGCATAATAATCATGGGCGCGCCCCGTAAGAATGTTTCATGTAAAATTATCAACTATATCTGGCCAGCATACAGTTAACAATCCACATGAATGGTATTCATCACAAACTCGGAACCAAGAAACACCCCCGTGTGTCTAAGGAATTAATGCATTTGATTAACCCTGTGCCCACAAGGCTATGGATGCCCCTTGATTTGAGTTTTAAGAATGTTATCTGCGCAATCATCATTTGGGACTAATACCCGATAATCTATTTGACTAGTTATGTATTGATAACTAACCTTTGAAGGAATTTCAATGAGTCTTCGATACTTCTCTGAGTTCTGATCGTTAAACTTTCTCACCTTCGTAGTTGCCCGGCGAATTATTTCTCTTAGAACATCCTTTGGATACCACGTATCATCATCTATTACTTGGAAAATTACAGAAAATGCAGTAATATGATCGGAGGGTGATTCAAGAAGGAAATTATAAATATTTTCGTATAATGCTGAAGCAGACATAATGAAATAAATTTAGCATATAATTCGATTTGAAATATATTGCAAGAAATATAACAAAAGAATATCGATAAAAAAGTAATTAACATCCATAACTTCATTATACTGCCCTTTTTAAATGTTTTCGTCCATCTCTTTTTGGGTTTATAATAAAGTGGAAGATTTACGCCAAGAATTCTTCTCACAAAGAAAATGAATCTACAAGAGGTAGTTAGCCTGAGACCATTCCTTTTTGGGGTATCGAATTTGGTTAATCGCACAAATAAACATGCATGCGTCATTATTATGATCAGGGGTTACACATATCGAAATTTTATCTTTACTCAGCCCCATTAAAATGTCATACGATATAAATGATTATCTGATTGATTATGCGGATAGATTATCAAATTTGAATTTCTTTTACTTTGCTAAACGATTAGAAAAATATGGAAAAGACACTAAATTATTACCTACCCGCATCTAAGAGCGGAGCTCATGCCAAGGCATAGAAAGATCCTGTAAAATATATGTATGAACTTCCAATTTTCACAAAGAAGTTACGGTCAGGGAATTTTGATTATGGATTAACCGAGAGAATATTCCTCAAAGACACAAATATCAGTATAGATAATTACATTTAATCGAACAAGAAATAAGTAGATTTTTTTAAAAAATAGCAAATAGATATCATGATTTTTTATTGTAATATTTGATATATAATAATAATGATTTTTAATGATATTTGATATAGAAAAATAGAAAAATAGAAATAAACGCAAGCTTGCATGGGAGGGATGCGAAAGCGCATATAATGCACGACTCCAAGGCCATATAATGTGCATCCCTGTACTTTGGGCTCGCGATTATTCAGTACTAGTAATTATAAGATTATTTTTGTTTCTACCGCTACTACCACTACTACTAACAGACTTGTCTTTCTTTTTTCCTTCTTTATTGACCCAAGCTTCGATTTTATCTAATGTTGTAACATGCGGTTTTTTTTGGTGGCGATAAAATCCAGATAACGTTGCAGGACTAAGTCTAATTTCTTCAGATAAGACATTGTACATTGTAGCGGGGGAACGCCCTTCTCTTTTTCTTCTTTCATCGAAGAGGTAGGTAAATTCAACCCAGGTAGCTTCAGTTTCATCTGGATATTCCGATCTATGGCTTGTAATAGAGGCGCGACCTGTAATGTTAGACTCGTTAGTGTAAATTCTGGAATGAGTGAGCTCACTTGCATCATAAGATAGGTTATCAGGCACGTAAGTGCCATGACCATTTAGGGTCGCCCCTTCAGGCCTGCTTTGCAATAAATTTACCTAGAGTCTGGGTTTCACTTTTCCATTCCGATTCAGTGCGCATTTTACTGATTTCATTATTGAGTGCTAAAATAGCTTTTTCAATGTTTTTTGTAGCTGGATCTGCGGTTTGTTGCTTATACGAGATGTGCATAAATATCATGATTACATATGGTGCGATAAAAATCAAAAAGAAAAAAACATGAATTATATCGATAGACATTTTTAAATAGATTTTTAAATAGATTTTTAAATAGATTTTTAAATAGATTTTTGATCGATTTTTTTGATTAGGTGTTACAGTTATGAAATAGAAGTAGAGAAGTTGACTTATCTTGTATTTATATATCTTTCTCCCATCACCACCCGCAGTCTAAAATTAGATCAAAACCTTCTGAGAATAACGATGACGCATTACAGAAGATGTGTAATATTAGCATGAGTTACATTCGTGCTAAAAGACAATTATGTTTTTTATTATTAATTCATACAAGAAAATCTCCTATACCGAATTGGATTTTGACGCACTGACAAGCTAGGTAGATTTTATTATTATTATTATTATTATTATCATTATTATTACTATTAAATAAGTATATATGGTAATTTTCCTCCGCAATGATTGTGGAGAATAAAATACAATAACTAAATGAACTCGCGTAATGATTTGTTCAGATAACTTTTTACATATGCTAATTTTATATGGATGATCCAGTATATTATTGCAGATCGGGCCCAGATGGGACAAGTCTAAAGACTTATGGCACTTACGTACTTGACATATATTAATTAAGTATTTTTATATGAGCGATCTTGACAACATTTCTTGTTTTTTTTATCAAAGTAGGAAGTTAATACATCTATTATTCGAATAAGCGAAGCTTAGTGTTTTTTTTTTTTGACACATAATAATAAATTATAATATTATATTATATATTTGACCGAAAAAATCACGTGCACCGATCACTTTGGCAAGAAAAAATCAAATCGGATTTAATCTGAATTATTATCGGATATATAATCTAACACCTTGTGCTTTCTCTGCTAAATTTGTACATTTACACAGTATTTTCTGCATTAAATATATTATTTTATTATAATAAATATGATAAGTAATACTAATAATAAATCTGGTCAAAGCGAAACACTTGCTCATTTATATGGGGTGCTTTTATATAGGAGGAAGGATATAATAGCAATTCAAGAGGCGGTGCCTCATTGTTCATAATAGAAAAACTTGGTATTATCAGTAATATAAATCAAACGGCAGTGACGGAGAGCAAGAAAGCGAAAAAAACTTGCTGATTCATATGAATTGTTGTTAGAATTGGTGAGGGATTTAATACCTATACAGGGGAAACTTGATATAGATATCAATCCCATTTTAGAAGCGGAACTTAGAAGGGATAAAGCCTCTTCAGATAAACCAATTAGATTATTTGATTTGCTTTTATGCTTAGAAGATGATATAGCGACAATTCAGGAAAAACTTGGTATTGTCGGTTATACTAATCAAGAAATGGGTAATTACTGAATGTGGGAGATAAAATCTATTTCATCATGACATCGCTCCCTGAGGCCCATTATAACGTGACATAGTGCTTCTGACTAATTTTTTTCTTTTTACTTTACAACGTCTTCGCTTAATAGGACGTTTCTTTGCAGATGAAGTCTTATGCATATTTATAAGCTCTGATCGCAATCTAGTCAAAGAAGAATCACTTGAGTCAGAAATATCTGAATTGGAAGAAGTATCCGAATCCGTGGAATAATTGACCCTATTTTTCTTGCTCTTATTTTTGGAAACATCGTCATTTAACCTTCTGGGTGTTGGAGGTGCGGGAGGTATATTGTGAAATATTCCGCGATGGCTCTTTTGGTGTTTAATATTTTGGGTACCTGAGAGAATTTTGTTGATTATGTTTATAGCCTCCTCTTGAGCTAGACCAGGTTTAGATTCCATTGATTTAGATAAGTTATTTTTAGTGGAACTGGTTTTATGACTCAAAGAGTCGCCTGTGGGCCTGCTATATTCACCATTTAATGGGATACTCATACCATCTATTACAATTTTAGCATGGTGGCTACAGTTTTCTGGAGAATTTGAAAGTCTATTACTTCGGTACCATCTAAGCTTTGCCACTTTCCTTTATACTGGAATTGTAAATCTAAGCATTTTATTTCACCTATTACATCTTCATAGAGATTCTCATCAGGATCACGTATTCCATAATATTCTTCAAGCTTATCAAATAAGCACCTGCTAATGGTATTAAACTTCGACGATGTATCGATTAATGCTTTTACTGGGATTTTTCCTTCGACAATAGTATCAACAAACATGTTAAGTATATTTAATAATGTATATTATAACCGAAAAAAATAACTAATAAATAATTACCCATTCTCTGCTACTACATAAAATTATTTGTAAACCATGAATGATTAGGATTAATCCCGCCAATCTCTCTGATACAATTACTGAATGTGGAAATAAAATCGATATTATGTATCTTGACACTAGCTCTGTTATTATCTTATATCGTCCCAATTATAACAGGGACATACACTCCAGAATCGCTAAATTCAGACTCAGTCTCAGAATCGCTAGATTCAGACTCCGTTTCAGAGTATTCTGAATCGTAATATTCACTTAGGTCAATCAGGCTATTCTTCATATTTTTATCAGAAAAACGAGTTAAAATTATATCTCCATCTCTATCTATTCCGATTAATTTGGGGAATAACATTTCATAGAATATATGTAATGAACGAGGTAATATTTCTATACTATCTTCTCTCCAATAACATTTTCCCTTTTTTTCCCAAAGCTCATTCCTGCATATTTTATATCCATAGAAATCAATGTCAATTCCTCGACCTGTTAGCCATGAACTTCCTAAAACTAAGTCATATTCAGGTTTG